CATGAAATTCATGAAAGAGTAGACTTTTCTTCCCCCACCTGCCAGCACCAACTTCTCTCTGGCACCCGGGACCCGGGCTGGCTTCCCACTAGTCCCAGCTTTGTGCAAAAGGATGTCCCATCTAATTAGCATATTACCCTTTTATTATTATAGATAAGAGCAGTACTCAACATCAATCTAGAAGATAGCTGCATTTAGCCCTAGGATTGACCTTGATTCAATTCTGATTGGAAATAACATATTAGAAAAAGAATTGGTCTTGTTTTTGTTGCATTTAAGTTGTATATGCCATGGTTGAGTGGAGGTCAGAAAAAAGTTTAGAGTCTAAACATGATTTAAAAAAGACGTCATTTAAAAATATCTGCCACAAACGTATTCTGCAACACTGCCGAGTATGGTTTCCCACGAGGCTCCTTCTCATACCTGAAAAGCTACTACGTTTACTTCCTTTGAAGTGGTGCCCGTAAAACATGTGAGTGATGGGATAAGTCAAGTCCAGGGCCATTTCAAATGGCAAAAAGGCAAAACTGAACTTTGATTTTTTTTCTTACATAAAATAACACCAACAAAAAGCATACCTGAACTATGTACATCACATCTATGTTGTCTTCAGTTGTGCTTGACCAAGGAAGATGTACATTTGCAACTAAATTTTTTCTTTTAATGACCTAACAGTTTACTATCCTTATCATTGTCACTATCAACACCAAAAAGTATTTCAGTGTCTGTGTGCACATTGCATTAAATATCTAGTTACACATCTTAAAAAAATATATATATATATATATTTTAAGATGTGTAATTATATATATATATATATATATATATATATATATATATATATATATTGCTAGAGAGGAAAGGATAGGGAGAGAGAGCTAGAAACATCAATGATGACAGAGATTCGTTGATTGGCTTCCTCCTGAATGCCCCAAAATGGGGCTTGAACCCACAACCCCAGCCATGTAACCTGAGGGGGTATCAAACTATGACCTCCTGGTTTATGGATTGATGCTCAACCACTGAGTTATACCAGCCTGGCTATAAGTTACGTATGTTTAAACCATGCCCTTTACTAAGTAAATAGGAGTTCACAATCTTTAGTGGACAGTAGTGGGCCAGGCCAGTCTCTAAGGAAAACAGCAACTCTAGTACTACACACAGTCCCCCAGGACAACTGGGGTAACAAATGGGCTGTTAGGAATGGAAAAACATGTTGTATTGGGGACGTGGGTGGGGGAGGGAAGAAAGGGCTTGGTTCACCAAAATTCTAGTTTTTACACAAAGGAAAGGTCATTTTTCTGCCAGAAAATTTTCCAGATATGTGAAAATAAAAGTCTTTCCCAATCGTAGTAGGTAAAGTGGAAATGAAATATAACTTCTTGGGATCTCATTTCTTTTGTACATATGCTGGTATACAGTATACATGGATTTTACTCAGAATGTATATGTCAGGTGAACCATGTGTGGTAGGATTTGGAATATTACTGTCATGGTATTTTGCTTCTGAAGTCTTTCATTGATGATACCAGATCCTAAGTCAGGCTGTTGAGAGATGCATAAAACATTGTCATTTTACAGTATAAGTTAATTAAATACACTAGAAGTTCTTTTCTAAGTTTTCTCTTTTTTCAAAACCTATTGCAAGGATAATATAGATTTGCTATAATTTGTAAGCTTAATTTTTTTTTTCTCATTTAAATAACCTCATGGCCTTTCAAGTTACATTTTTTAGAATCAAAAGACATTTTGGTATAAAGGTAGAATATGTAACATATTTGGGTAGAATAGAGATTTATTAATTTGTTACAAATTTTATTGAACCCATTCTACAGAATGAATAAAACCCCCAAGAAAAAAAGCATCTGAAGTTCTTTTACGGGAAGTAAATATTTATTTATATTATATAAATGAAAATTGGTAGCTTAGTGTCTATTTATAATAATTGTGTTTGAAATCTTTGAAAATCCTGGTTTCATGGCAAAATTATCTTTTTCAGTCAATAGAGAGAGAGCATAGATTAAGATAGACGCATATAAATGTTGTGATAGACTACCTGTGCAATTTTATGAAACTTGGAAAGTCCAGATTAATTCTGCTGAACTCACTGAGAAATTTTGTCTGACAGACAACCCACAAACAAACACAATAAATAAACTTGCAACACATAGAATGAGAATGAGCTTTGGAACTGGGCAGACATGGATTTGAATCCCAGTTCATTCTTTATTAGCTGGGTGATCTTGGCTAAGATACTTAGTAGTATCAGTGGGCCTCAGTTTCTGATTCTGTGGAGATACTATGAGTCTTACAGGGTTATTGCTAGAATTAGAAGAACATGCAAAGCTCCTAATGTGTTGTCTGGCACTTAGCGACTGTTGTTAGAACTGGGGTCTAGGCAAGCCCCAGACCATGGGAATGGTAGAGGAAGTGAGAATACCTTTGGGCAAAGGTGATCGAGCCTAGGTCTTGATGACTCCCATACTTTACAGCCCACCCAGTGATTCCCAGTGGAAGAATATGGGCTTCACCTCCCTCCTTGGCAGACTTCACGCAGACGTGAGATGGCCTGGGAATGGAATGGTGAGCTGCGCATGTGCGCCTCAGGCTGCATGGACCCCTTTGAGGCTTTGGGCTGAACGATGGCCCCAGAATACCTGGTGTTGCCGTGGCAGCCAGTGAGCAAATACAGACCGGTGTTTGAATTGGAAGCACTTTCCCCGTCAGCTGTCTATACTGCAAATAGCTCCCCTCTCTGTAGCTCATCTTTTAATCTTCGTAACAGGATCTTTTATAGAGTAAAAGTTTTAAATGTTGATGAAGTTCAATTTATTGATTTTTTTTTCTTTTATGGAATATGCTTTTCTATCATGTTTTAGAACTCCTCATTGAGCCCTAAATGCCGTTTTCCTCCACATTGTCTTCCTAAACTTTTCTGGCTTTATGTTTTACTTTTAAATCCGTGGTCAGTTTTGTGAGTTAATTTTTGTGAAGGCATGTGGTTTAGGTTGTGGCAATCAGAATTCTACAGTGGCTCACAGGACCCTTCCCTCAGTGTACTGTGCTCTTGAGGGTGGGCAAGACCAGTGAATACAAGATTATCCTGGATGGATACCTAATCGGATGGGCCTTCTAAAGGAGGGTGAAGTGTTGGAGTATTGGCCTATAAACAAGCAAACGGCCTTGTTAAGAAGGGAGGGGTCCCCTTGGCAAGGACCTGCGGTGGTCTTTAGGAGGTAAGAGTGACCCTGTATGACAGTCAGCAAGAAAATGGAGACCTTCGTTCTAGAACCTTAAGGAACAATTCTACTGACAACTTGGAAGAGAACTGAGTCTCAGATGAGCTCATGGCTCCAGCTGACACCTTGGTTCCTGCCAGGTGAGACCCTGAGCAGAGGAGCCAGCTAACCCATGCGAGACCCATGGAAACTACAAAATGTGTGTGGTTTTAAGCCATTCCACTTTTGGTGATCTGTTACAGTACAGATTTTGGCTTCCTAGAGTGGGGTGATGCGCCTGTGCTTATGTAGTTGAGGTTTCTGATGATTGGGGCTTGCACCTGCGTGTGAGGTGAAGAGGTGGGTCACACACACTACCTGCAGGCAGGTGGGGGGTGCGTTGCCTTCAAGATGTGGAGGCTCCCGAGGCCCTGCCCTGCTCTTCTGATTCTAGGTTCTTACTCACTGTCTTGGTCTCTGGGGACAAACCCAGCTGAGGCCTTCCCCCTTGGCACCTGGAGGGGGAGAGCTGACTAGCTCAGTTGGTGTCCTCCTCCAGTTAGTCACCAACCTACGCAGAGGAGAGCTCTTCAAGCCTGTTAATAGCTTATTCTACTTTTGAGCCAGCAACTCCAATGTCTGTATATTTATTCCTTTAAACTTGTATGTGCTTATTAAACAAGCTCCATAATATAAACATAGAAAAAATAAAATTTTAAAAGATTTTGGAGAAAAAGATTAGAAAGTTTAATATAAAAACTGTAGAGACAGTAATACGATGGGTGATTGCCACGGGTTGGGGGGAGGAAGGGATGACTATGTGGAGCATGGAGGATTTTTAAGTCAGTAAAACTATTTTGTATGATACTTCAGCGGTGGATACATGTCATTATATATTTGTCAAAACCCATATAATATACAACATGAAGAGTCAACCCTAATATAATCTGTGAGTTTTGGGTGACATGTCAGTGCAGGCTCATCAGTTGTAACAGATGTATCACTCTGGTGAAGATGTTGACAGTGGAAGAAGCTCTGGGTGTGTAGGGGCAAGGGGTACAAACTGCTCAATTTTCTGTGAACCTAAAACTGCTCTAAAAATACAGACTATTAAAAGAACTGAATATAATCTACACTAATAAAAGAGTAAGATGCAAATTGATCTTACTTTTGCGATGTCCACCAGCCAGTCAGGAGTGAGTATGCAAATTAACCCCAAAGATGGCGAGTTTATTTGCATACACAGGCGCCAAGCAGCCAGGGGGCATTCTGCTCTGCTCTAGCCGGTCCAGTTCTCTGGGCAGCATGGGAAGGCAGAAAGGTGGCTCGGGTCAGAGGGATGGTGGTGCCGGCAGCCAGGGTAAGGAAGGCCCATTCTTGCACGAATCTTCATGCATCGGGCTTCTAGTATAAAAGAAAATCTATATATGAAATTTCTCTCCCTTTCCCCCTCCCATTTTAACTTACTCTGGAAACTGAATACATATGCAAGACAACAGCTGCGCCATTTTTGAATAAAGTAAGAAATACAGTTATTTTGTGGTATGGGTTGGCACTGGTGTCTTCACTTGGTCCATTTTTTAAACATTCATGTTTCTGCAGTTATGTTAAGGGAAAGGTGGAAGGATTTCACAATGCAGGAGGTTGAGAGAGGCATCTTTACTTTCTGTGTATTTCAACATGAACAGTTATATATCCCATGTGGTTAAAAGAATTGATGGGTTAAATTCATACATAGTGTAATCTTTACAGCATGGTAGTTTACAATAACATAGAAAGTAGTTTTTAAAATCTGCTATATAAGGTTTGCTGTTTTTCTTGTGGAAAAGTGCTACAAAGTACTCTTGAACTTGTGTGTCAGTTATGGGATTATCTTTATCAAAAAGAGAAAGGTTCCAAATCTGTTGACCTTTTCTTTGATAGCAAGTGGCTACCAAAAGCATCCTATCTAGAAAATATTAAAAAAGTTCTCAAATAAAACATACTCTGCCACATCAAAGTAAAGTGACATTTGTAGGGGAAAAACCTCACTCCTTTGAAGGAGTTTTATGGAGAAAGCATTATGGAAATAATTGTTTGGAAATATTTCTAGAACTATAAGCTGTTTTTCTAAAATTGATCTAAATCCATAAAAATTTATGTGTGTATAAATAAAAAGTTTCAAAGCAAATCTCCTAACCTCATAAGGTGTTTGAACTTTTGTAAAAAATAGAAAATATATTTAGTATAGAATATATTTGTTAAAATATAAGAAAACAGGGTATATATTACTTTAAATATAAATGGATAGATTCAGGGATATTGAATATTTTCTAGCAAAATGTCAATTAAAATTTCTGTATAATTGATAGGATTAAACCATGGTTGTCATAATTTAATAAACATGACCAGTGATATACTTCTGCCATTTGCATCTTACATTCAACCATGTGTTGTGTGAGAGGTGAGGGTGGGGGATTCAGAATAAAATAGACTGATTACTACATCACAAATACAGCAAATTAATAATAATCCAATGAAAGTTATTATTTATTTATTTTTGGGTTAATCCTCACCTGAGGATATTTTCCCACTGATTTTTAGGGAGAGTAGAAGAGAGAGGGAAAGACAGAGAGAAACATAGATGTGAGAGAAATACATCATTTGGTTGCCTCCTGCACGTGCCTTGACCAGGGTCTGGGCCAGGGTGGAGCCTGCAACGCAGGTATGTGCCCTTGACTGGAATCGAACTCAGTACCCCAGGTCCACAGCCTGATACTCTATCCACTGAGCCAAACTGGCTAAGACTAATTAAATTTATTAGATTCCATTTTTAGAGGACTTTCTCATATTAGAGTTAAGAGAATGGCTTTGCATTAGATTTTTAATGATCTGAGCCTTACAATAGTTTTGGAAGCAGGCAAAAAAAAAAAAAAAAAAAAAAAAGACTCTTCTTCTTATTTCATGGGGGAAGGAGATGGAGGCTCAGAGAGATGGCATGGCATTATCCAACAACATAAAGCTTAGTAAGTGACAGAGAGAGGATAAAAAATGAAGTAGGAATGGTGATTCCTGGTCCATTACCTCAGTGGAAAAGATGAATGATTTGTAAGAGAGGAAGAGAGATTTATCATAGGAAGGAATAGATATGATTTTATTGTTTCTGATTTTTATATACTATTTAAACCTAGGAAAATATTTAGTGTTATTTATAAGCTTACTTTGAAATTACTCAAAATAAGGCAAACTAGGACATGTGACATGCTTTCAAACATGAGGTCATACCATGCTTAGTTAGTGTTGGGTGATGGAATTCACTTTTTTTGTATTCTGTCCTTTCTTTTATGTCAACAGATATGCTTTTGTATCTTCTTTCACCTTAAATAAAGTATTTTTAATACTTTATTCGTTGGAGTATTAAGAGTACATTTTCCAAAATGTCTTCATTTTTTTCCTATATTAAATAATAAATTAAAAATATTTTTATTGATTTCAGAGTGGAAAGGAGAGGGTGAGAGAGAAAGAAACATCAATGATGAGAGAAAAATTACTGATGGGCTGCCTCGTAGAGGCCCCCTACTGGGGATCAAGCCCACAACCTAGGCATGTGCCCTTGACAGGACTTGAACCTGGGATCCTCACAGTCCACAGGCCGATGCTCTATTCACTCAGCCAAACCAGTTAGAGCCCCTATAACGTATTTTATACCAGCTTATGGCTTCAACCTGTGGTTTTTCATCTCATTTATTTCAAACAAGTGCTCACTGTATCTGAAGATACAGAGATGATAAGGCATAATATCTGGCTTCAGGAGCTTCTTAGTCTAGTAAAGATAAACATGTAACAAAATGCATTTCTGCTAAAAATACAGGCAATAATAGAACCAAGCATCAAGGATTCACAGAGAATTGTAGAAGGCTATACTGACTTTGGGCTCAAAAGCTCCTTCTTGAACAGGTGGGTCTGAGCTTTATTTTTGAGGGATAATACTAATTTTTTTTGGCAAAAAGGTGTGACATTTTTTACTCTTACCTACAAATACTAGCCTACTTCTATTTCTTAGACATTGTGTGTGGGGGTACTTACCTTCGTTACCAAATTATTACTTCATATGAATTGCTCAAATATCAAGCCTCTCAAAGTTTACACAAATTAGACTCTTTAGATTAAATATAATTTGGAAATTCTTGGACTATTTGCCATTGTACTAAGTTGTGACTGTGGCTGGAACATTTTTTTCTTGTAAATAATATGACATTATATTTAAATATTTCAGAAATGTTTGATTTTATTTTGCTACTAGTGGCCCAGTGCATGAAATTCATGCACAGAAGGGGGGGGGGTGTTCCCTCAGTCCAGCCTGCATCCTCTCTAATTGGACATCCCTCTCGCAATCTGGAACCACTGGCTTCTAACTACTCACCTGCCTGCCTGCCTGATTGCCCCTAACCCTTCTGCCTGATTACCCCTAATTGCCTCTGCCTGCTTGCCTGATTGTCCCTAACTTCCCTTCCCTGCTGGCCTGATCTCACCTCCAACTACCCCTACCTGCCTGATCTCCCCGCAACTGTCCTCCCCACTGGCCTGATCTTGCTCCCAATGGCCTTCCCCTGCTGGACTAATCTCATCCCTAACTGCCCTCCCCTTGCTGGCCTGGTTGCCCCCAACTGCCCTCCCCTGCCAGGCTGATCTCACCCCCAACTGCCTTCCTCTGCCAGCCATTTTGGTTCTGATTGGTTGGTTTCTATGCCAGTCAGTGTCAAAAGCTCCACCTCCTAGGCAGCCATTGGCTCCTCACAGTTGACCCAGATTTGTTTCTGATTGGTCAGTTCCTATGCCAGTCAGCATCTCTGGGCTTATCTACGGAGCCTGATCAGAAAGGTGGGGCTGATCAGCAGCCCTGGTAGAGGCTTGGAGAGAAATGGAGGCATGGCTGCTGGCTAGACTGGGAGAGAAAAGGAGAGGCAACAGATCAGTCCCTGCTTCTCTCTTCAGGCCTCTCTCTGGCCCTGGTTTGCGTGGCCACCTCATCAATCAGTGCTGGGACATCGCACCTGCAGTGGAAGCAGTCAGCAGGACTGACTTCCAGTTTGTCGACCTTGGTCATTACTGGACATTATGACCCAGGGTTTTTATATATTGGGATGTTTGAAGTATTTTGAAAGACTTTAAAAAAAGGTGTAATAATATTCTAGGACTTAAAGTTCACTTCAGGTTGCTTTAGAAGAAAAAGTCTATAAAAATGGTTAATTTGTAATACGGAGGTCTAACAATTCCCCAAATATTATACAATTTAGGGGAGAGAAAAAATTATCAACACTTGCATGTATTAATTTTATTATACATATATAATATAATGTAAGGGCACTTCTCTACTATATAAATGAATGTAATTATGCTTTTTTAAAAAAAAAACAATATAGGAATGACATTTACACTTAAAAAATCACATGATCATCTCAGTTCCTTTATTTAAGAACACTTGTTTATAAGGTAGATTGAAAATTTTATTAATTTAGCTCATTTTGAAATATTTTGCTTATATATCTGTTGTGTGCTTTAAGATTGAAATGTGGGTCAAATTACAACTTGAATTTAGCTTTACAAAGAAAATAAGTGTGTCATCTGTAAGAACTGCATTCTAAATTTTAAGCACAATAGATCAAAGTACATCTTATTTAAATAAATAGTCAGAAAAAAAGTCTCAATTATTTTTCCCCAAAACTGTCTTAAAATAGTCACTGTTCTCAATATAAAATGTGAAGTGCAGCTTTATTGTTTTAAAGAAAGATGAAAAGTAGTTTGTTTAAAAATTTTAATGATTTTGCTTTCAAATTATGGAAATTCTTCTTTGGGGACAGCTCTATTGGAATTCTATGTGACACTATTTTTATTTCTTTAGGCTATGATTAAAAGCTTCATGGATGTCTACCAGCTTGCAAGCACCAGAATTGCAACCTTAGAGAAGGAAATGACATCTCATCGAAGTCACATTGCAACCTTGAAATCAGAACTTCACACAGCTTGTTTACGTGAAAATGAAAGTTTACAATCAGTAAGTCCTACAAAATTGTTTTCTTCTTTGGATCTGGGGTCACATCTGCATTCATGTATTCATTGCTCTTCGGATAACTTGCCAATACATAGAATTTAGGATAAATGATCAATCAAGCACTATAAAATTATTAGTGTGTAGAAAATTATGAAGGAAGAAAACAATTTATTTCCCATTGTATCGTGTATAAAAATGTACGTATTGTTATCAATGCTAAAGCACTACATCAAGATTCCTTTGTGTTTGGCAGTGCAGCTGACAGTTGGATTTGGCAGTGTGCATAGTGAAAGCTTACAACTGTCTGAAGATTCAGTGTGTCCCATTAAGACAGAATATTATTAATTATGCGTATAACCAAAATGGTAATTAGAACATGTGATTATTCTCTGTAGAAAACTAGACTTATCCATAATACATGCCTAGCTAAAATTCATGTTGTGATTCATCTATATGATTAAAATTCAATTTCAGCAGTCATTTTATGTCTTAAAATTTTAGCCCGTGATGAAATTTGGGTTCATTTAAAACTAAACAAAATTTCCTACATTTGAAATATAACACATACTTCAGAGAATATATGGAGAATATAAAAAAATGAATGCTTGTGATATAAGGGAATGAAATAAACATTTAAACTTTTTTTTCTCAAAAGGCAGTTATGTCAACAGTGATGGAGTGTACCCAATAATTGGAATGTCTTTTTCCCCTTTTTGGTTTGATTAGAACAAATCAGGGTAACTTGTAAATAAAGATAGTGTCATTCTGCCATTCAGCTGTTGACCCATTTTATTTCAACAGAAAAAGAGTTTAACATTAAAGCAAATGGATGCACAGCTATGCTTTGGTTCTTCAGCTCCTTGAGGGTCTTAGCTCAAATGTCAGCATCCTAAATAAGCCTTAGAGATCCTGGGTAATATAATTGCAACCACCAGACTTCCCTCCCCCCAAACTCTATCTCACTCTTGCCCTAGCTCACCTGTCTACTTCCATCTTACTTGATTTATATTTTTCACTACAGCACTTATCATCAGTTGGCATGTAGTGTATTTTATTTACTTGCTTTATTACCTATTTGCCCCTTAGCCTCAGTACAATATAAGTTCCATAAAGATAAGTAATTTTGTGTGTTTTCCTCACTGCTGTGAAGTCACTCCAGTGCCAAGAACAGTCTGGCCCACAGTAGGTAATCAACAAGTATTTATTGACTGAAAAACACTGGTAATGTAGCCACTAAATAAACAAACCTGCTATTTGGGACCTGGCATATGAGTTCAATTGAGTTCAGTTTTTAAAGTAAATTTGTTAATTTCTTGATGAGAGAGTAGTAATTTTAACATCCACCAAGAGAAATTAAAATGAAGAGGAAACTTAAACATTTTTTAAAATAAATATTTGGAATTTACTCTAACCTTTCTTTGAAATATACATTCCCCCCCCCCCCCCTAACTCTCTCACCCCTTGGTTAATATTATATTATACTGTTGGGTTTAAAACCTTCTCAGGGTCCGTGATGTTTGTGCTAATATCTGAAGACTGGAGAGGAGTGATCTGGGGGTGGAAGAGAGTAGTGTTCCACATTGGGAGTAGCGGAGTGGGAGCATCTACAAGGACTCTGTGATGGGAAGAAGAAACTGAGAAAAAGACCAGTGTGGCTGGAATAAAGAGAACAAAGGCAGGAATGTCTGTGATAAAGAGGGACTAGAGAGAAGGGAAAGGTCAGACTTTGTTGTCTTTGTTGTAAGAGCAAATGAAAAGTCATTGTAAAACTTTAAAGAAGGAATGACGTGCTCAGATTTGCTTTTAAAAAAAGATCACTTTGGCCTTGGTAGGAAGAAATAGTTGGCTGGGAAGAACATGAGCAGACAATTTTAGGATTTTTGCTTTTGGAAATAGATCAATGATCTTATTTACTAAGAGAAAAGCAGTGCAACAGGAGGGAGTATTGCTGGTTTAGTTTTAAGGAGGTTGATTTTGAAGAACTTTTGAGACATCAAACTGGGGATGTCAAGAAGGCTGCTTGCTATGGAATTTAAGCAAGATGCCACATAGTTATAAAAATTTCAAGTCATTGTCATATGGATGAGACTTGCAGCTGTTAACAAGAATGAGATGATATACAAGACAGTTTATAAAGTAAGAAGAGAAAAGGGCCTAAGAATGAAACTTGAAAATTCCAACATATAATGCTTGAGTAGAAGAGGATGAGGCTGCAAAGGAGGCTGTGAAGAGGTAAGAAGACTATACTAGTGCAGTGGAATACTATGCTGCTGTAAAAAGAAAGAACTCTTAAAATTTGCAACAGTATGGATGGACCTAGAGAGCATTATGCTAAGTGAAATAAGATAGTCAGAGAAAGATAAGTATCACATGATTTTGATCATATGTGGAATCTAATAAACATCATAAACATGAACAAAAATGGACCCAGAGACATAGAAACATCAAACAGACTGTCAGACCTCAGAGGGAAGGCAGGGGAGGGTTTGGGGTGGGGGAAGAGATCAACCAGTGAACTCATATGCCTATATGCATAACCCATAGACACAGGCAATAGGGTGGTGAGGGCCTGGGGAGTGGAGGAGGGTGGGAGTGGTCAATGGAGGAAAAGGGGACATATGTAATACTCTCAACAGTAAAGATATTTTAAAAAGCAATTCCTTGCTCCACTGATGTTATATTTCAAATCTGTAATATCAGAAATCCAGTAAATGCCTTAAACAGTTGAGTTTAAATATTACAGTGGACTTTTTAATATGCTGCACTGATGTAGCAAGAGTATTAAATTTATTCAACCATGAATGATTCTTTGATTATCATACACCTAAACTACTCTGTTATGTATTGACCACAAGAAGAATAAAAAAATAGAAAATGGAAAAAAAAAGAGCTAAGAAGAAACCCTAGAATGTATGATGCCATGACTTTGGAGTATTTTAAGAGTGATGTGTCAGTTGTCTAATAACACCTGAAGATAAAATGAAATGAGGATTGAAAATGGCCTTTCAATTTAATATGTGGAGGCCTTTGGTAACCTTAGCATAAGAAGTGGATAAATAAGTGGAACCAAAAAATCCACTGAATTTAACCACCTCTCTCAAGGATTTAGCTGTTAAGTGTGAGATGTAGGAATGGTGTGTTCAGAGGATTCAGAGAGCTCTGTTTAAAGATGGGAGTGACTGCGCATATTTCAATATCTTAAGTTTAGACCTCCAAAATATGGTTTTGGTACTGATCACTCTACTGTACATTTTAATAATTATCCATTTTCAGTTATTATCTTTTCACATTCCAGCTTTCTTTTGACTAGTTTTTGTATAATATATCTTTTTCCATTCTTTAACCTATGTTTTATATTTACAGTGGATTTTTTTTTAAAGAGAGACATGGAGGAAGGAAAGAGGGAGAGAGAGTGAGTGAGAGAGAAAGAGAGAGAGAGAGAGAGAAACATCAATTGGTTGCCTCCCTCACACACTCTAACCCAGGCCAGGATTGAGCTTGCAAAGGAAGTATGTGCCTTTAACCATGAATCTGATCCATGACCCTTCAGTCTGAGGGATAATGCTCCAACCACTGAACAAACCAGCTAGGGCTACAGTGGGTCTCTTATAGAAAGGTACAGTTTGGCTTTGTTTTATTGATCTATTTGACATCATAGGATTTTAATTAGTAGACCATTTACATTAATATAATTATTGACATTTCGGGGTTTTTGTCTACATTTTATTTCTTTTATGGGTTTGAAGGTGATAAGACAATCTCTATCCTTGTGGATTCATCTTCTAGCAAGGGAAGCAATCATATAAGTAGTCATAAAAATAGGGTTGTATAAAGTTTTCAGGAGCATAGATGAGGGAGCAGTTCATTCTGCATAGCCTTGTCAAAAGAAAGTACTGAGAGTATGAAATGTTTGTGGGAGTTTTTGAAAACTGTATAACAACTTAATATTTTGTTTAGGGGGAAGAACAATCAAACCTTGTTTTGTTTTTGAGGAATAAACCTTATGAATAGAACATATATTTACTTAATTAAATTATATAATGAGTTTTCTATATAATAGAAAAATGTATTGTTACTTTAGTTTCAGTCTCCCTCTCAGTTAACGACATCTAACTCACCGAAATAGCCTATACCCACTGGAGTCCAAGACTGCTTACCTCCATATGTTCCCAATCTGTGGTACCATCCAGTCCTGCTTTTTTACTCTAGAATCTGATTTGATTCTACCTGTGACCATTTTGCTTTTAGTGTTCCTGATTGGCCTCTCTACTATTGTTATTTTGGCCCTTCTCAAAATTCCTTTACTGGGCCTCAGATGAACTAGCTTCATCCAGTACTCACCCACCTCTTATTGCTTTCTGCCCTCAACAAAACTTGAGAGTCAGACAGGTCTGGGTTTGCTTTCTGGCACTGTTATTGATCATCCATACAACACTCTAAGCATCAGTGTCTGTATTGGTAACACGTGATTGAAGTTGCCTACACTGTGAGGTTATTATAAGGCCTAAACAAAGACATTGTCTGTGATAGTATTAGGAGCTCAGTAAATAATAGCTCTCTTCTCTACACACAAAATATTCTGATAGTTACATATATTTACTACAGCTAAGATCTAGTAAGAAATATATGTAACTAGGAGGTAATCTTTTTATGAGTAGGCAAAAGAGCTAAAACAACACTTAAATCAGTGCTTTTAGCATATATTAAGTACACCATTAATGTTAGTTCTTATCTTTTATTTAATGAATTGAGAACAGTCAGTATATGCTCATTATTTTCTTTTTCAGCCATTTCACTGGATAAAAATAAAAAATAAATATTCAATAGTAAAAAAAATGTAATATATTGTGTTGTTGCAATGATAGAGATTGATCATATTGTAGACATGAACAGTCGTCTATAAAGACTGTATCCCTCTTTAGGTGACATTTTCACTTTTTTGTTTGGAAACATGTAATAATAATGCTGAAGTTCATTTAAGAGTGCCTGTCAGTTGTATACTTGCCAGTACTTAACATTTTCAGTATGCTGATCTTTGACCCATTCACTTAAGGCTGCTCTAGAGCTTTTATCTTGAGTAATAGTAACCAGAAAGGTCTTTTGAGTCCCATACAGCCCAGTAGAGAACAGTACAGCAGTCAGAACCAATTACTTGTGGGTGTTCGGATGCCGGCAAACCCACAGCTGTGGAGAAGCATATGATATTTCAATCTGTGAAACACAGAATGCCAAACCCAAATACTTTGCAGTGAGTTATGAAGCTGCATGCTACAGTATTGCTTTGCCTCATTACCACTGTATGCTTAAGCAGTATGTTTTTAATTCTGTAGTACTTTATGAGAAAGTAATAAATTACAAATCAGAGGAGCATTTGGTTAGTATCTTTG